AACTCCCAACTCAATCATTTCACCAGATGGGTGGCCTTGGAAAGTTACTTAACCTTTCTGAGATGAGCTTCAGCTACCTTATCTGTGAAGCAAAGCAGATGGTTACTGAATGGAACCAATGAGAATATTTGTAAATATACTTAGTAAAATGTTCAGCACACCGTAGGCATACATTTCTGTATTATGCTCCGTATCTCTGCCTATTTGCACCTCTACCTGAAATTACATCTTTCTCTCCACACCTTCTCTACATGACCAATTTTTTTTAAAGTCAAATGCTATATCCTCCACAATGCTTGTCTTGATCTTTCTTCCTACCTGGAAGTTACTCTCCTCAACATTATGTATATGTTTCTTATAGTAACAAGTACTTCAACACTTACATAAAGCTAACAGTTCATATCTCACCTACTAGAGTTGAAGCAGCAGAGGTATAAAAGGGGTTCCCATATTCAAGGTCATCCAGCAAGTCAACGGCAAACCCTAGGTTAAAAACCAAATACGATACTAAGATTGCTCTACACAGATGCATGTCACTATTCTTTTCAAAACAAGTTATTCATTCACCTCATTAACTGTGAAAATACCTTGTGGTAATAAAGGATTGAAATAGAGGTATATATCTTTTGCTAGTCAGTCACACCTCTGTCAGAAGTCATAATATTAACATTACTATTATCAGAGTTAACAGCATGACCTTTACGTGTATTTTCACTAAATTTGTTCAACAATCCTGTGAGACAGGTATTACTTAGTAGTCTCTCTTTTTTAGAGACAAGGAAACTGGGGTTCAGGTCAGTTTGCTCAATTCATGAAGCAAGAAAGGGACAGTGTCAGGAACAGAACATAGTCTATCTGATACCAAAATTTATGTTCATAAGGACTACAAAATGTTAAATCAGATGCCTACTCTGAGGCAAATTAAATTTGCAACATAAGGATCAAAGAAAAAATGTACCCTACACATGGTATCCAAGTAACAAACAATCAATGAAGGAATGAAGCCTTAATTTTAACCACAGAATATACACTAAATGACATGGGGACTAACTCCAGTTTGTATGATGTGTACAATCTGAAATGGTGCCACAATGCTGAAAAGGATGCATGATTTCAAAAGAAGCAGTATTCCAACCAGAATGCAAGCTACTTGAAGACAGGAACTGTGTTTATCTCACTGCTGTGTATCTTCAGATCTGAGATATGCTTCACAGAAAGAAGGTAATCAATACCTGATGAAATGGATGGTAAACACTGGGAAATAAACATAGTTAAATGGTACAAGTTCACATCAGAGAATTATAGAGCAGGAAATGACAAACTCATTTTAGGTAGATTTTTCTTTTTTAAACAAACCATAGAGAGTTTGGCTCCTTTGATGGAGCCAAAGAAAATCTGCCTCAGTATAGATGGGAGCACACAGCTAAGAAAAGAATGCCTACTTCTTGAATCCTTTTCCTGTCTGAAGATTCAAATCATTCAGCTCCAAGTGCAAATTTTAAACGTAGGTGGAATAGTCAGTACATGAGAGACTCAGTTGCCCTTTTTAGCCTTCTTAGTTTGGGATTCCTTTTGTAAAAGCAGCTTTCAAGTATCTCCTTTTAATGATAAATGTTTTACCTGGTAGCAGTTAAAATTCTCATTTAGAGAGAATTTGAAGTTCACCCACAAGCAGATTCCAGACCAGATAATTTTCTCAGACCAGTTGTATGCCTCTCTAGAAAATGAGCAATAAACCCTATTTCCCAACTAAGATACTTCCACACACTATATTTAGTAGGAAACTAACTTTAAGCATCAAGAACACTCACGATGTGCCAAACTTAAATTCAATTTGAGGCTAATAATTCATGCCCACTTACTATTTTTCAAACTAACCCCACGTCCCTAAAAATTATGTAACTATTAACTTTATTTTTAAAATGAAACTTAGGGTACATATAAGCTTTCAATTATAGAAAATTGATTTTCCTCAGAAACTGATTTAATTACTGCAAAAGTTATTTCCTAGTAGGATTATATTTTAAAGTCATCTAAAAAGTCAAAATATAGGGAAGACATATTACAGGAAGAAAATGGAAGAACAGTGAGCATACTGCTAACTGTGGCTTAATAAAGTAGGTCTCCAAAATATGAATTATATCCCTTATGGAAATATTCATTAATATATAATGAATATCACTTCCCACTTAAGATCTCAACTGATTTGTATTTCTGTCACTTAGTACTTTAAAGTCATACCACCCTTAAGCTGATTTTGCTATTAATACTTAGTGAAACTCACACGAGTCATAAAATAATGCAAAATAATGAAATAAAAATGGATGCTGTGCTTCTAAGGTCTCTGTGGGCTAGCAATCTATGAAAAACAAAAGAGCCCCATACATCATGCTTTGCATTTTACATAATCTGTGGAATGCCCTTTGCCATCTCACCCACCTAATCCAAATGTCTTCTTTAATATTTTTCTTAACCACACAGTTATCACTCCTGCTCATACGTATCTGACTAAAACGCCCACATTCCTATCATGATGATTTGTTTAAATCTCCACTACTCAAAAACTATGGTTACCTTTGAACAAGGGCTGATCCTTCTTTACTATTTAGGCAAGCCATGCCCAACAAATCTTTGTTGAATGAACTTTAGTGTAAGGGTTCCTCTGGAAAATTGTTACTGCATAATCACCAAATTATGACTAAAAAATAACAGTAACTAACTGGAAAGGATCTAATTCACATCACAAGAAAATGAAGTCCAAAGAAAATACGGTGACTTACTAAGGTTAAATACTAGTATCTGAATTCACGTTTCAAGTGGTAATTTAGATTTCTCATGTTGTCCACCTCTGATCCAGAGCAAACCCAGGATACCCTTTCCAGTCTGTTACTATCTCCACTTTCTCAAGAGCTTCTTGAGAACATATTTTAAAAGTCATTTAAAATTCAACTAAACGCAATTTCTGCAGTGAAAAACCTCTAGTAACACATAGCCAAAACATGGTGCTACAAGTTTTAGGTAGGATAAACCAAAAGAGCAATAAATGGCATATTTATTGCTTTAAAATAACCCCAGACCTCAATGTATAGTCCTTTCAGGATACAAAGGCATATTTTTCAATCAAGTCTTTCTCATAAAAAAATAATTCACACACAGAATTTGGGAAGAAAAATGGCAAAGTAAAATGTAAACGTTAAGACTATAGAATATCCAACAATTCCTTGTAGGACTCTAGCAGAAAACTATCTGGACACCACTGTAACCCATCATTTCAGTCAGATTCCTGTACTTTTTTTCCTCTTTGGTATATTGCAAATGGCAACATAAGCCCTGTAAAAGTAATTTTAAATTCTAAGCAGAAGAATGGAAACATGCTAATCAATAATGGTGCATCCATACTGTATTAAACCACAGTTCTGAGATAGCTGTTATGTACAGATATGGGATACCTTTGAAGTTAAAATACATATATATCTACGTATATATAAAAATTAGATCTAATTTTTGTTCTTAAAAAAAGGTATATATATCATCCTGCAAATAAAAAGATCTAGATGTAGACAATGTAACTTACCTCTGGGCACTGGGAGAAAACAGAGGAGCAATATAATGGTCTTCATAGGCCATTATTTTACCGTGTATTATCTAGCTTTGACATTTTTCAGTAAAATGTTTTAGTTGAATTTACCCTAAGGCTGTAAAAGTTACCTATGAGTATAAAATCTTTCTCTGTATGAGAACTGAAAAATAACTTCTGATACTGCATTCTCATTATATAGCACATTTAACTCTGAGGTAGCCACCTCATCAACTAAGTGCGTATTTCATGAGCAAGAATATTATCTGCGATGATAATAATCGTTGCATTATTCATAACAAGAAGCTTCATGTCCATCAACAGAGGAATGTTCTATGCTATGTTTACAGCCATACCATAGAACATTACACAGGCATTAGGAAAGACGAGGGTCTGTCAATGATTTAAACTGCAAAACTATAATCCTACTTTTTAAAATTAATGTTAGCTACAAACAAAAAAGATCTAGCTGGACATACAGCTATCAACAAGATTATCCCTGAGAAGAGGGTTTGCTGATGTTGGTAGAATTTTTACTATGTTTAGTTTCACTTATTAAGCAGTTACTTAAATGCCTAATTCTACCAATTTTTAAAGACACCAGCCTCAAGATTGACAAAACATATTTTCTATTTCCTAGTAATAGTAGTATTTCCTGTGACTTGAAGTACAATCCAAATGTGCAATATTATAATTTTTAAAGTAACACAGTAGAAAGGAACTTCTTATTGAAAAAAAAAAATCTTGCAGTATTTTCACTTTTAATAGAAACCATGAGATACAGGCACAGCAAAGTAACCTGCAGTAAGACACAAGAGGAAGAGGCATCATCCTTTCTGGTTTAGAAGCAATCTTTGTTAACTTGTTTCAGAAACAAAATAGAGCTTTCTGAAAAAGGGAATAGAAGGAACTCCTCCCAGTGACTGAAATCTTACACTGACTCAGTAAGTTGGTTCAAAATGGAAGAGACTTACCCTCTTCTACGTGCAAATGTTTGGGGGAAAGTCCTTACATTGTCTAGATGCAGTTTTGCTCAAATCAATCCAACATCCAAATGCCCAATTGCAATTAGCAAAGACACATACAAAATTTAATGCAAAATACAAATTCACAAATTTGAGAAAATTAAGCGCATTTAAAAGGTAAATAAGCCTACAAATCAAGTAACTGTCATTGCCATTTCTGGCCTTGAGCAAAATAATCCTAAATCTCAAATTCTCAAGTATCCTCCATTCTTTAACTTTGCCTAAAAACAAAAAATCATCGTGAGGATTTAAATATGAAATCTATGTTTCAAACCACTAAGTTATAGGAGGAATCAATCAGTATAACATTCTCACTTGATACTTATCACTATGAACATTAACCATTTGCAAGCTTTTTAAGATTAGAAATTATTATCAGTCTTTCAAATCACAACTAATGATTACCATTGACTTTATTGACTTTACACTAAAAACACTGTAGATGCAAAAGTTCTTCACAATAGGGAGACAAAAAAATAGGTTTTTATTTTGCTAATCTTACAAATTAGACTCAAGCATAGCGCAAAAAATTGTATTCAATACTGATTAGGTTCTATACCACCTCCTCCCATGAATTCTTAAATTAAATGTGAAGTAATGTTCAGATAGTCTCATAAGTGAAAAAAGGTCAAAACGTAAAAATAAATAAGTTCTACATGCCAAAAACGCTTGCATAAAAATTGACAAGAGGAATTCCAGAAAGACTACCACTATTTTTGCCTTCACTAAATACCAATCCAGATTACAGAAATTTGTAAAGGTAGATACATGACAATAAAGCAGTAATATACCATGAACAGAACACTTAAGTCACTTTTCTAATTAACAGGAAATTCTTTTACATAATTTAATTTTTTAAGTCATGTTGGAAATATAAAATGATCCCATTCAAGTTCTGAAAATCCTCCAAAAAGTGGACTATTCCAATTGAACCAGAAAAAATAAGTTTTTCCACTGAGTAAAAGGCAAGGTGAGCAGTAACTATAATAAAATTTTAAGCAAATCATTTTCTGTATCTGAGGTCCCTGCAAAAGCTGGACCAAACTACCAAAGAAACACAGTATGATGCATTTTGCTAAGAGTGAAAAATTTAAGCAAACTGTAAAAAACGTTTGAGAGCAAGATTTGACTATATGTTTACTTATTCAATGTGGCAAAAAACATCTATCCCAGTTGTCGTAGAGGTACTTAAGGTCAAGAATCAGCTATCTTTTGTCAAAGTGACTACTGAGCAGCCATATTTAACCCAGCAATCTTGACCTTTCTTCTATCTCTTGAAAATAGAACCGTGGTAATAAGGAAAAAAATTTTTGCAAGAATCAACTTTAATATACAGTGACAAGAACTAAGAGAAAAAGGGTCAGTATTTCTTTTACTTTAAAGCCCAATCATCTCCCTTAAGAAAGATTAATAGAGCTCTGGGCTTTCAACATCAAAATTCAAGTCATGTATTTTACCAGTAACATTACATCGTGTCTGTACTAGATTAATAGGTAGTCTGAACCCACCCACCAGGTTATACATACTCTCACTCAATCATGTAAAGAATTGAATTCTTTATTTGTGATATCCATAAACGCTGCTATTCTATATTTCTATCCAGGAAGGCAATTTTCTCCTATTATCATTTTGTTTTGCTTTTTATAAACAACAACTTGAATTCTATTGCAAGAAAGGGCTACAAATATACATTTGTTAATCAAGCAGAATACACAGATATTTTGCTTTACAACTTGCACCTAAGATTCCAGTACATGTAGCTGGTTCATTAGTTGTCATAGCAATTTGGGGCCTTTACCCAAGCTATGCATAGCAGTTTACATTTTCAAATCTCATGTATAAAGGGGAATTGTGATATGGACTGTTTAACTACATTCCTGTAAAGCCCATCTCAGTTACAAGTAAATGTATAACCAGCGTCTGCAGATTTGTGATGGCAAAACTTCTAAATCTGATGCAATTGTCCTAGACAAGTTTTTAAACAAATTGTTTTGCAGATATACTGCCATTCTGCCAGTAGATGGTGCTACAAAGGTTGGGGGGAGGATTTCCATGAGAACAACAGTTCAGCTATAGAAAAAAAAATGTTTAAACCTGCTCTGAAAATACAAAAACGCATTTAGTCTGAGGGTAAAATATAACCCTTATTTGTAACCATTCAATATAGACAAACCAGTAAGAGGGCTGAAACTAGGCCATCTGAAAATTTTAAACAGTTTATATGAATGAAAACACATGCTTAACACAAACTATTTTTTAGAACTACACAGTACATACTTTTAAGTAAATTCTCATAGAAAGAGGTGACCAACCATGTCAAGATGGTAAGCAAAATCGCTTAGTACAAGAGATGGATGCACAGAAACTTTAAAGATTTTAAAAAGCCACATCCACCACTTCAAAGTTTTGTCTGTAAGGGATAAAATTCAACAAGTCACTAGCAGGGCAACAGCAAGAAAAAAAAAAAAAAACCCACAGGACCGTTTAAAAGTTTTTCTAAGTACACATCAAGAATTAAGGATTAACACGAAAAATTTTCAACTAATATCCCTTAAAATGGTATGGAATGGATCCTATAAAAAAAAGGTTAGACATTTACGGTCAAACACAATGATTTATTAAAAATAAAACGTAAAAATGATTTTTGTACATATGCTTCCAAATTTCGGGCATGGGATCCAAGTAATTTCATAGAAAATGCTGTAGCCAGGTATCAAGTCCTTACAACAAAGTAAACTACCCCCCACCCAACCCCCGCCCAAGGTTTTGCTACAGAATCAGCAAGTTCACTCCCACCCCCCCAAAAAAACACAAATTAAAACAAGACATTTTGCTAGTATAAAAACGACCAAGGTCCAAGTAATAATAAAAAAATAGAGTCCATCAATGACTGTAACACAAAAATGTGTATGTGGGGCCAAGTCCATCTTCAGAGGGAGAGACAAGAGAGGTGGCAGGCAAACACGGCAACACCCCCAAGGGTGAGCAGCCTTAGAAGTGGCTCCCCCAAGGGCAAAATGGGGAAGGCGGTGGGAGGGGAAGGGGCTTAGGAGTCGACCCTAGTTGGGGGGTTGAAAAGGGCTACCCCTATAGCCACTCCCAGGCATCTTAAATTTCTTTTTAGAAGGAGCTACCTCCATAGCCACCCCCACCACCATAGCCGCCTCTGTAAGGTCCACTGTTACTGCGACCGCCCCAGCTGCTGCCTCCGCCGCCGCCGCCGCCGCCGCTCTTCATGGGCCCATAGGAGGACTGGTGCTGGCTGTAGCTGCCGAAGCCTCCGAAACCGTTACCGTAGTCGCTTCCACCGTAGGACGAGCCGCCTCCGCCACCTCCGTAGGCGTTGTAGCCGCCACCGCCACCGCCGCCGCCGTAACCACCGTAGCTGTTGTAACCGCCGCCGCCGCCTTTAGACAAGCCGTTCTGGTCACGACCACCGCCGCGACCCCGGCCGCCTCGGCCGCCCCGGGAGGACCGGGAGCCGCCTCCGCCTCCCCCGGAGTGGATATCCTCCTTGGGGACAGCCTTCTTCACCTCCACGCGATGGCCCTGGATCGGATGGAACTTGACGACGGCGGCCTTGTCTGCCGCGTCGTGATTCTGAAAATACACGAAGCCGAAGCCACGCTTCTTGCCCGACTGCTTGTCGGCAATAATCTCGGCCTTTTCTACGGTGCCAAACTGCGAGAAGTGCTCGATCAGGTCGCCCTCGGCCACGTCTCCCTTAAGGCCCCCGACAAAGAGCTTCTTCACCTTGGCGTGGGCACCGGGCCGCGCCGAATCCTCCCGGGACACCGCCCGCTTCAGCTCCACCGTGTTGCCGTCCACGGCATGGGGTGAGGCGGCCATGGCGGCATCGGCCTCCTCCACATTGGAGTAGGTCACGAAGCCGAAGCAACGGGAGCGCTTGGTCTGGGGGTTCACCACTACCACGCAGTCCGTCAGGGTCCCAAAGGCCTCAAAGTGGCCGCGCAGGCCCGACTCACTCGTCTGCACGTTGAGGCCACCGATGAACAGCTTACACAACTGGGAATTCTCCATCTCCACGGCCCGGGCCTTCCCCCCGCCCTGCGAGCTCCGAGGTTTCGCCGTCGCTGTTATCGTTGGCTAAGGCCTCTTCACAGCTTGGGCCCAGCCGTTGCTGGAGCCGCCCCCGCCGGTCACCGACGGGGAAGGGAAGAAGGGAAGGGAAGGGAAGGAGGAAAAGAGGAAGGGGGAGGGGAGGGGAGAGGTGCCGGCTAGAGGGCGAGCCGAGGAGACTGGAAGACAACCAAGGCCGCCGCTACCGCCACCGCCACCTCCGCTCCCCTATCTGGGCACCACACAAAGAGGCCGCTGAACGCGCGCGCACCCTCCCCGAGGCGTGCGTCACCGCCGACGTACGGCAGCCCAGGGCTATCCGCCAATCATCACCTCGCTCTCCTTAGTCCCGCCTACCGCGCTGCAGCGCGGGTCTCGGTCACGGGCTCCCCGCCCTCCGCGGTCTATTCAAGCCCTCGGCCTGCGCTGCTCCCGCCACTGACCCTACCGCCCGCTTTCACTCCTGGGGTCCCCAGTGTGCCCCGTCTAGGGGCTCTCCCTGCCCTTCGCGCACCTGTGCTATTCGTTTGCCCCCAGCCCCGCGGCTGTTCCCGATGATTTCTCCCCTCCCCTTGCCGTGTCCCCCTCGCCCAACTCCGCAGTGGCGTTCGCGCCAGCCCCTTGAGAGACATGTCAGTTCAGCCAATCACAACAATGCGCTCGCACCCACTTCCGTTTTCGGCAGCCGCCGGCCGAGCGCGCTCCCCGATGCGCGCTAGCCTCGGCGCCCCCTGTGTGCGGATCCTGCCTGCAACCCCCTCGCCTACTCCCGCCCTGGATTTGCCGCGCGGGGGGGTGAGCGGGTGCGCGCTGGGGGCCGTTCCCAACGGATGCGGCCTGGGGCGCCACGCGCGGGCTTTTTGAAAACTCGTCTGTTGGGGTTCGGGGCCTGCATTTACCCGCCGCATTTCGGCCAGGCCGCTACACCTGGTGTCCTCGCCCCTCCCGTTCGCACAAAGATGGAAGGGAGAGGCCCGCTCTCAAAGGGCGGTTATTAACCGTTTATAGTGAGCCCGAGGCGCGATTAGACAAGCATCGGCACGTGGCCCTGCGCAAAAGCGAGCCCGAGGCCATGTGGAGGACAGCAGCGTACCCACTGTGCTTCAGACTTTACGGCCGAGGCGTGGTGCGAGACCCCCGCCGCCCTCGGCCGTCCATGAAGCCTTCCCGTGACGCCCCTCAGCCTCCCTTCACGCTCCGACAGCAGACATTTTCATTTTACCCCAGTATACACACCGTTTTATACACTTACGTTACTTATGCGTGCTTCTTTCCCAACTAAAACGTAAGCTTTTAAAAGGCGTTTTCGATTGAACTGGGAGCGCAAGCAGTTAAGCACGTGAACATTGTTTATCAGTATCACGCACCCCTGATAACTGCCATAGGGACTCAGGTGGGGATGCAAGAAATAATGGCTTCCATTCATTGAAACATTTGTGTGCCAAGCAAGACGTAAGAAGTGGGATACAAGGTATAAAACATAATGTAATCAAGAGCCCTAAAACCATGTGGTAAATTGAGACGAATTCCTCACTGTATACTGGAATGCAGTGTATTACGAATGATTTGTTAGAAATGATTTGTTAGAAAGCGGCACTGAATCAGAGTCAAAGGCTAGATAAAATTTATAAAGGACGTTTATCTAAACAAAATCTGGAAGAAACATACAAGCTACACAAGCTTCCAGGGGCAGTGAATGGATCAGCTTGACTGGTTTTCGACAGAATAATAAGATAGGTTGAGGGTTTTGATATTATGGAATGTCCTAAAATTCAGATTAAGGAGTCAATATCATTCCAAAGGCTTCGGGATTTGGGGACAAAAATAGACTGGCTCTGCCACCTGTTAACTGTGTGACTACTGAATTGTGTGACTGGACAAGTCACTTAACCTTTCTTAAATAAAGAAAATAAAAGTTTTATTATCTGAAAATCAGAACAATAAAACACCTACCCGGTGTGGTAAAAAATTAAATGAGATTCTGCATGTAAACACAGAGCACAGTGCCTTGCACATAGTAAGTGCTCAGTTTACCCAATAAATTATATACTGCATGCTGGGAATATAGCAGTAAACAACAGACAAAAATCTCTGCCTTCACATACCTTACAATCTTGTGAGGAGAAGCAGTTAATAAGAGTAGTATACAGCATGTGAGATAGGAATAAGAGCTACTGGAAAAATTAGAAGAATAATAGAAACTATCATCTTGTTATAAAACAAAATTCAGGTATGTCAGGATTTGCTAACTGATGATAAAGAATGAGGAAAATAAAAGCATTCTAGTGTTTGAAATCTGGAGGCCTAAGACTGCAGCATGATATAACTAGAAGATCTAAGAAAATTATTTAATTTTAGAGGGAGTAGGGAAGGTGATGAACATAGTTGTTAATGTTTAGGTGATAGTGGGATATTCATGGGATTCTGTTTTCTGGGATGCCCAAGACTATAGCTCAGATAAGAGATTAGATCTGAGGAAATATATTTTAGAGTCATCCAAATAAATGTAAAAACAGTAAAAGATGAATTTCTGAAAGAGATAACTTATTTTCCTATCCAAACTGTAAATCCTAAAGTAGCAGTTTGTTCCTACATTGTTTTAAAAACAATCTTCCACACTACCTTGTTGAGGATCCAATTCGTTTCATTTCTATTGACTAGGAAAGCTTCATAGAAACATATGTCTAGTATAAGCCTTACATAGAGAAGGGGGTTAGGATGATTGGAAACAACACAGCATATTTAAGAGACATTTAGAGAGCCAAGATAGATGCAAGTTAATTGGGATGTCCAATTCTTTTTGGAGATTAGATCAGTAAAGGTAGGGACAGTGAATAAGTAGTGTTAATATAAACACTTATATGATGCTGTCAGTTTCCTACCTCTCAGATCATTCAAGTAGAAACCTTTTTTTCTACTTTACCTTTTAGATCATTGCCTGAGTATCTTTCTTGGCTTTATGTTGCTTACAAGTATCTCACCCTTCCAAAACAAAAAAGTTTAAAAATATAACTGAAATTTAGACAACTTTTGATTTCCATCCCTTCTGCAAGGGATGGAAAATGGTTGCACAACTCATATAACTGCACATTAAAAGACTGTATTTTACTGTTTCTGAATATACCTAGAAAAAGAGAACAAGAGAAAAGGAAAAATAATGAGCTGAGGAAGAAAGGGGAAACTATGGCCAGCTATATTTTCAGAAAGCAGAAACTCTGATTTTTTTTAAGTCAAATTCTTATTACATCCAAGACTTTTTTGCAGTTAGAGTTCTGTTATGAACTGAATTGTGTCCCCACTCTTCCTCCCCACCAAATTCATATTTTAAAGCTCTAGCCCTCCCCCCTCCAGTACTTCTAAATGTAACTGAAATCAAAGATAAGGTCTTTAAAGAGGTGATTAGCTTAAAATGCATCCATTTAGGGCGAGGCCCTAATCCAAAATGGTTAGTATCCTTATAAGAAGAGGAGGAGACTCCAGGGGCATATGTGCACAGAGGAATGACCATGTGACGAGACAGCAAGGAGGTGATCATCTGCAAGCACAGGAGAAAGGTCTCAGGAGAACCCAATCCTGCTGGTACTTTGACCTTGGACCCCAACCTCCCAAACTGCAAGGAAATTAATTTCTGTTGTTTAAATCACCTATTCTTTGGTATTTTGTTACAGCAGCCCTAGCAGACCAATAGATGTTCCATTTTTATTTACTCAAGGTACTTTCCAAAGGGGCACTCTGTCATTTGTGATGAGGTACAATCTTTCTAGTGGACTCTTTAGCGACTCACATAAATAGCCTCAAAATTTGATCTGTTCTCTTGAACCATTAATAATGTTTCTGGAAATTTATCCTAAGGAAATAATTGAGGATCTATGTAAGGATTTGGCTACAAGGATATCCATCTCAATACTGTTTATACTAGTAAAAAAAAGCTGGTAAGTATTTAATTGCCCCCAAATAGCTAACTAATTAAATAAGGGAGTAATTTATAAATAAATAGTTCAAGTAGGAGTATCATGTAGCACTTGAATTGATATTGTAGAGGAAAAATAATGACTGGTATTATGAATCTTATACCATTATGATGATGTTGAAAGGTCACATTACTTATTTTATCAAATCAAAGTAAGTCTGACTTTAAACCCCATACTTGACAGAATGGCAAAAACGTCAACATGCCATTATTGGGGCTCCTCTCACCTGTTTTCTCTCAAAGGCACATGCCTCTCTCCCCCTTCCCCTCTTGGGCAACCTAAGAGTAATACCCATGATAAAATGCTTTAAAAAAAAAAAAGGCACAACAAGGACTAGACTTAGGAGAGACTCTCCTAACACGAATATTCAGACCAGTTCAATCAGTGGAGATATTAATTATATCTTGCTTCACTCCTTGTGTATTTTCTTGCCTCTGGTACAAAATCTAGGCTTTTAGAAGGGATTTATATTTGTTTCCTCCACATGGGAGAGGATATTAAAGGAGGAGGATTTGGTGGGAAAACAAGATAGCTTCCCAAGTGTGGGAGAAGTGACCAGACAAAAGGAACAAACTTCCAGTTATAAGATAAGTTCTGGGGATATCATGTACAGCATGCTGATGATAGTTAACAATACTACATTGTATATTTGATGGTTGTAAGAGTAAATCTTAAAAGTTCTTATCACAAGAAAAAAAACTGTAACTATATGTGGTGATAGATGTTAACTAAATGTATTGTGGTTATCATTTTGCAATATATATGTACTGTAAATCATTATGTTGTACAGCTAAAACTAATACAATGTTATATGTCAATTATATCTAAATTTTAAAATTGATTAATTTTAAAACAAAAGATGCAAACAAATGCTTCTGGGGTTTTGTCCATTGAAGGAAACAGTGGCCCAGCTAGTGTACAGCCCTATCATTCCACTTTATCCTCTCCCTCCACACACACAGGTAACAGTGGAGGCTGAACATTATCTTGAAAGCAATGTGTATCACCTTGGTCTTGGGACAAGGCCCACAGCCATAGCCCCAAGTAAACCTGGAATTCTTATATATAAAACTCCAATAATAAGTTATTTAACTGCCAGTGAGAGAGAGGTTGAGGGAGATTATCAGAATTAAAAGATGTTATAGACTGAAGGTTTATGTCCCCCCAAATTCATAGGTTGAGGATTAATCCCCAATGTGCTGGTATTTGGAGGTGAGGCCTTTCAGAGGTGATCAGGCCATGAAAGTAGAGCCCTCATGAATGGAATTAGTGCCATTATAAAGAGACCCCAAAGAGCTTTCTAGCCC